AGCCATGGTGAGTCCCGCGTCGCATCCCCGTCTCCCCTCGGCCTTCGCGCAGCCCGCTCCGGGCCCCCAGCCCCGTGCCTCCTGTGCCCGCCTAGCGCTGTTGGGCGCCCCGAAGGCTCTCTACCCTCCCATCCCCCTTCTTTTCTTCTATCTGCCGGCCCACTGCCTGCCCCACCGAATATTGCCGTGACCCTTTCTTTCTTCTCTGCAGCCTCCCCATCTTTCCGTGATCTTTGCACACAGCCCACCCCCAGCCCGTCTTCTTCTCCCGGGATTTCTCTCCCCCTCCTTATCCAGTTTTTCACTCCTGGAGACCCTCTGCGAGTTGGTATGGCGGCAGCCCTGGAAAGGGCACTGCCTCGGGTCATGAGAACTGACCTGCCTGGAACCACCATTTTCCATCCCTGTCCCCAAGCCGGTGAGGTGGGCCCACCCATCCGGCCCTGAGGGACTAGTCACAGCTGTGGCTGGGCCAGGGCCAAAGGGCATGTCCAAAGGGAAATTCCCTCACAGAAAGTGGGCAGTTTAAGGGTGGGTAGGGGGTGTTCCGCAGTACCAGTGGGCGTGACGTTTCCAGTGCCAAAACCAGAGTTTTGGGACAAAGTTCCCCAAGGCTCACGCCGCTGCAGGGAACAGGAGCCAGCCTCAGAGCCCTCCCGCTGCAAGGAGGGAGCTAGATGAAATTCTGTGCACTAGGCAGAGGCTCCGAGGGCAGCAACTCAGGGTACCAGAAGCCCGTGTCAACGGGATCGAACGCTAAGCCTGGAACTTTCCGACCAGAAGTACTCTGAAGAACTACGGCAGGAGTGGGCTGTGCTTAGCGAGGGCGCCCACTGCCCAGACGGGTGCAGCCTACCGCGCTCACTGCAGAGTGGAGGAAGGGGAGAGGCCCTGCCCGGGGCAATGCCTACGGAGAAAGCCCGGGAGGCATCACCCTGCACAGGGGGTTGGAGCTAGACAGGAACTAGGCCAGTGAGAGCTGACTCAGTCTCGCTTGTCTTTCTGGTCCCCGCCGACCAGAGGCCTGGTGTCTTGGGCTCCTGCCCACCTCCGCCTGCTCCAGACCCCTCCTCCCCTCCTGCTGAGGCCGTTTCCTGTGGCTGCGACTCTTGTTCAGCCATGAGCTCACCGCCCCTAATGGGTTGCAGCTGCTTCGCTGCTCAAGCTGTAGCGCCCCGGATCCTAACTTCAGAGCCCAGGCCCACTCAGCCTCACCCCAACCCTTTTCCCCCACCCACGTACACAGTCCCGGCAACACTGAGGGTCTGTCTGCTCGCCCACACCTTGGGGCCGAGTCTGCGCGCTGATAACACAGAATGCTGGTCTCTGGGGTGACTGAATACCCTAATCTTCTCAAACAGCCAGGATTTAGGAGTAAAATAAGCAATTTTTTGTCTTGGAGCGAAACCAGAACTGTTTGCTATGGGTTGAGAGCTCGGTAAATATTGCAGAATGCCCCTTTCCTCGTTTACAACAAAGACGTTTGATAAAAGAAACTAAAAAGCCATCTTGAAAGATTTGCAACAGAGGGATTTTGTTTAGGGAATGAGCTGAAGAAAGTTACCCCAATGATTCACTTAGGGAAGTGGGTCAGAATGGGACATGGCTTAGTTTTTGAGACTAGATAAAATTTTTAGTCTTTGAGGTCCAGGTAAAATTCAACGTGATTGCACAGCATCAATATTCCTCCTCTCTTCTCCAAGAGTTCCGTTTGTCTCTATCTTCTTTCACATGGCCCCAGGCAGTTCATGACAGCCAATCCCACAGGCTCTGTGAATGGAAGTCAGGGATGCTTCAAAGACCTGAGATAGTCACTGTCTTCTTGTCTTGTCTCTTCCCATCTATCAGTCAGCCATGGTTTGTGGGTGGGCACACCTCCACTTATGATAAAGGTATCCGGATGGTGAGTTCTGGGGGGAATCTATTGGCTAGATGACTATGTAGAAGCCTCATACCCTTCCCCATCTACCAGAATTCTTGACCATCAACAAGGTCAAGTGGCCCGACCTGTGCAGGTGAATCCATGCAGTCACCCCAATATATAAGTACCTGGAACAATCCTGATCAGAGTCATTCATAACAAATTCTCCCTGCATCTCTAAAATCAAGGTCTTGGAGCTATAATGTGAAGCCAGGGTAAGCCTGTAGGTATTGACTATCATCCCCCATTCCTACCCTTTGGCTCATTCAGTCAGCATGTTCTGATTACCCGCTGTGCTCACATGATCTAGGACCAGCGAACTCCCCCAGAGCCATGCTAGTGTAAGCTCTAGTTATCTCTATAGCTTGGTCTTGTCTCTCCCAGGAGCCTGAGCCAGTAGAGGATTGTGTGCAAAGCACACTGGCTGCCTTGTACCCACCCTTTGAAGCCACAGCCCCGACCCTGTTGGGCCAAGTGTTCCAGGTGGTGGAGAGGACTTACCAGGAGGATGCGCTGAGGTACACGCTGGACTTCCTGGTACCTGCTAAACACCTGCTTGCCAAGGTCCAGCAGGAAGCCTGTGTGAGTGGCTGTTAACCCTTTTCTGCCAGGCTACTTTCCACCCACTTGGAGACACAGTCTTCCCAATCCTGTTCTCCACAGGAACCCTTAGGTCTCATTTGCTGACCTCCCACTGATTGTGACCACTCAAACACTAACACATATGCAGGTATATTTATTTTCCTTAACTATTGACTCTTAACAAACATCGACTTCTCCTGAAAAGACCCTGACTTTTTCAGAACAAGTTTCAAACATTACCTTGTGAATGTCTTAGGATACTCCCTCAGACTCAGACGTGACTCAGAAAAGTCTTCACTTCTGCAGACAGAAACACCAACAGTCTTTGATTCCTCCAAGACAGTGGCATCTGGTGACGCTGTACTGACTGGGTCCTTACCTTCCCACATACGCAGCTGGCTTTCTAGGAAAGCTTCCAAAGGATCAAGGACTTTGGTTCTTTCCTCTGCCACGTGGTCTCCTTTCCTATCCCCTGGGGGTTTTAACTCACCAGAAGTAAGGCCAGCCCTGCCTAGTGTAGACTTATCCTCACAATGCCCCTCCCCCTGCTTGCTGGTTTCTTCAGCAGAGGCCTTGAGTGCAGCCTCTCACTTCTCTTTCCAGGCCCAGTATAGTGGATTCCTCTTCTTCCACGAGGGCTGGCCACTCTGCTTGCATGAGCAGATAGTGGTACAGCTAGCAGCCCTTCCCTGGCAACTGCTGCGCCCTGGCGACTTCTACCTGCAGGTAGTGCCCTCAGCAGCCCAAGCTCCCCGTTTGGCACTGAAATGTCTGGCCCCAGGAGGTGGACGGGTGCAGGAGCTGCCAGTGCCCAATGAAGCCTGTGCCTACCTATTCACCCCCGAGTGGCTGCAAGGCATAAACAAGGACCGGCCAACGGGGCGCCTCAGCACGTGCCTCCTGTCTGCACCCTCTGGAATTCAGAGGCTGCCCTGGGCTGAGCTCATCTGCCCAAGATTTGTGCACAAAGAGGGCCTCATGGTCGGACATCAGCCAAGTACACTGACCGCGGAACTGCCCTCTGGACCTCCGGGGCTTCCTAGCTCTCCACTCCCTGAGGAGGTGCTGGGTACCCGGAGTCCCGGGGATGGACACAATGCTCCTGCAGAAGGTCCAGAGGGTGAATATGTAGAACTGTTGGAGGTAACATTGCCTCATATGAGGGGAAGCCCCGTAGATGCTGAGGCCTCAGGCCTCTCCAGGACTCGCACAGTGCCCACCCGTAAAAGTACTGGAGGGAAGGGCCGGCACCGCAGACACAGGGCATGGATGCACCAAAAAGGCCTAGGGTCTCGGGACCAGGATGGGACACGCCCACCTGGGGAGGGGAGCAGCACTGGGACCTCTTCTGACTCACCCCCAGGAGCTGAGGCAGACCCAGATGCAACAACCCTGGAGGCATCTGAGCCCCCAGCAGAGACTCTGGGGGAGGCCTCTGAATCCTGCCTCCTGGCAGGGGAGGCTGGGGGACCACCTGGTACCCCTCGAAAAACAGGCAAAGGAAACAGAAGAAAGAAGCGGGCTGCGGGCAGAGCTGCCATGAAAGGGGACAGTAACCCACTCAGCGCCAGGGACAAGGAAGAGACTAGGCAGCAGGAAACCCTTGCCGGCCTGGCCTCACCCAGTGAACAGGAACCTGCAGAATGCAGCCTGCTTAAGGAGAAAGAGGATTCTGGGAAGCCAGAGTCTGAACCAAAAGAGGAACTCAAGCCAGCAGATAGAAAAGAGCCTGCACCCCCAGAAGACGGCGGGCCTCCAGAAGAGGGGGTCAGAGAGAGTGAACAAGAGGAGCTGATTCCGGTGTGTACAGCAGGTGAGATGGCAGGCCCAGAGGCAAGGGCCAGGGCAAGCTGGGCCTCGGGAAGGGGACTGGAGAAGAAGCTGTGGTTTGGCTGGGAACAGAATAGAGTAACTCTGCCTCTATCTGCACAGGATCCACAGGTCCAGGGTTCATCCTAGCTGACCCTCCAAAACAGCCTCTGGAGACTTTGCAGGATGTAAAGGACAGCACCCCAGAAGAAGCACCCCCAGCTCCCGTCTTGGGTGACCCACCTGTAGCTTGGGACTTGATGGCATCTGGATTCTTTGTTCTGACTGGTCAGTGGGCATCTGTGAATAAAAGGAAAGGGGCTGGGGAGATGGCTCAGCTGATAAAGGGCCCGCTTTGCAAGCCGGAGGGCTGAGTTCAGATCCCCAGCATCCACAGGAGAGCTGGGCATAGCACTGATCTGTAACCCAGCACTAGAAGAAAGAAAAGGGAAGTGGATTTCTGGTGTTCGTTGGCCAGGCAGTCTAGCTGAACCAGAGATAATCCAGGTTCAGTGAGAGACCCTGTCTTTAAAAAAAAAAAAAAAAATGAGGTGGAAAATGATTGCCAAAGAGCCTACATTGACCCCTGGCCTCCACACACATGTACACGTGTATGCACACACAAACAAGGACATGTCAAGCACACACACAGGGAGGGTATGAAGGGGCTTACATGGGAAGAAGGAAAGGTGGTGGGGAGGTAGTCAAAGATTGCTCCAGCCAGGATAGCCTGGCCGTTTTCTGTCTTCAGGAGGGGTCGATCAGACTGGGAGAGCTTTGCTGACGATCACGCCTCCATGCCTGCCTGAGGAGCCCTCACCGTCCCAAGAGATATTGAGCAATGCCCTTTGTTACCTGCACTCGCTGCTGAGGTACTTGTCGCGGCCAGCTTCAGCACCCTGAGTGTTCGTGCAGTGGGGGAAACTGCTTTCTTTCTCAAGGCACTGCCTGCGACTTCAGTCCTCGGGTTTCCAAGCCGTCAACACTGCTGGCTCTATCAGCCTCTGCAATAGAGCCCAGATTATCAGTGCGCAGACTCATTCAGACAGCAGATACTTTGTGACACTGAGTACCTCAGATAAATGCTAAGGTCTTGGATGTATCCATCGTAGCACATCGAGTTCTAGTCCTTCAACCTTGTAGCCATGTCAGTGTAGGCTCGTGATTGTTAGGTTGCCTGCTGGGCACATGTCCCAGACCTCGGCCGTTTGCTCATTGCTTCCCAAATATAGTAGCACTAACTTTCTGAAGGCTGTTAGCACCAAGCCAGATGACCTGCGCTTTCTTCTGTTCTCTGTTTGCTGTCTCCTTAGCGTGTGCACGTGTGTGTGTGCGCCACACACACACACACACACACACACACACACACACACACACACACGTACGTCTTTGGCTCTCCTTGCCCCCACAGGCCTGATCTCCAGTTATTGGGGCTAACCACCCTACTTGACCTCCGCAAAGCACCCCCACTGCCTCCAGCACTTATTCCTGCCTTGAGTCAGCTTCAGGTAATCAACAACCTAAGACAGGCATGTCTCAACGTCCTCGCTTTTGTCTGGTGGCAGCCATGCCAGGCCATCCAACTGTCCAAAGCTTAGGTCTATTCTTCTTTGCACTTAGGACTCAGGCAACCCTCCGCTCATTCAGCGGCTGGTGATTCTCATTCATGACGACCCTCCTCCTGAACTCTGTGAATTTCAGGTAGGTTCTCACCCACTAGTCCCCTGTCAGTGAGGGAAAGGGGAGGGAAAGCTCACTGATCTCTAGGATTGGTCTGAATCCCAAGGGGCCTGTGCAAAACCCTCCTGCTTTCCTGTGTCTACAGGGAGCTGAGTCATTGTCAGAAAAGGACCTGAAAAGAGTGGCCAAGCCAGAGGAGCTCCCATGGGACTTAGGAGGTCACATGGACCTCTCCCCCAACCACTGGGTAGAGATACATCAGGTAAATGCCCTTAGCACCTAAAAATCTGGGAACTGGAAATGTAGCAGAAGGCAAAAGACAGGCATAACCATGGGGCTGGGAGAGATGCAGTTCCGTTCAGTTCAGAAAATAGTTCCGACTCCTGAATCTTGATCAGATGCTGTTGGCCACTGTGAAGATGGGAAGGATTCACTAAATTCCTTTTTGATTTTTTATCTTACGTGTATGAATATTTTGCCTGCATATATGTATGTACTTCACATACATATATTTTCAGGTACACATGTGCCTGGTGCCCAGAAAGCCAGAAGAGGGCATCTGGTCCCCTGGAACTGGAGTTACAGAAGCTTGTGAGCCACCCTGCGGCCCTGTGTACTGAATACCAGTTCTCTGCAAGAGCAACAAGTGCTTTCAACCTGTGAACTGTCTTTCCAGTTACCACCCACATTTGTAATATTCTTTCAATTTTGTAAGATTGGTTTCATTTTTAAGCATGTACACATATCTCTGTGTATATGTGAGTAAATGTGGGTGTCCCTAGAGGCTGGAGCCATCAGAACCACATATGAGTGCTGGGAATCAAACCTGGGTCTTCTGGAAGAAAAATACTTGCTCTTCACCACTGAGCAATCTTTTCCAGCTCCCTGCCCCCCAAGTTTGTCAGATTATTAACATGACACTAAGTAAGGGATACTTTCTAGTAGGGGCTTTTAAGATATCATAAAACACGTAGGAAAGTATTTGTGATAGCTTTGTTGGTGTCTAGAAAATGCTGGGAGTTGGGAAGTTGGTTCCGTGGTACTTTACGTAACTTCTGGATATGATGCCTTTCCGTACCTTCTCTCTACACCAGTACCCACAAGGTGCAGGATCTTCACCCTTGGCGTGGTCTCTAGAGAGCCTCTGTTGCTTACCTTCACGCTTCTATGATCCTAAGTGTAGTAAGTGCTTAAGAATAGAGGAATCAGCTTGATCACAGATGACTACAAACAGCAGTTCTTAGTGACAGCAGTTAGGGAGAGCTGGAGGCAGGGCTTGGCAGAGTGAAGACCGAGGCAGGATGGCAAAGGAAACTCACATACCAAGCTGTCCTGTGTGTTGTGACCATGCCAGTGCCAGGCTGATACCACTTCCTTAGATTTTACAAAATCTATATTTATTCTGACTTTACTATTGAATAAAATAAATTTTAGGAATTGTGGACTTGCCCAGTATTGTATAACTTGGAAGCAACAAAGTCAGAAAGTAAACCTAGCATTATTTCCACAAAGGTCACCAGGGCTCCATCTCCATCTTGTGGGCTTTTATTTTATTTATTTGTTTGTTTGTGTCTACCTTTATTTATTTTCCTTTCTTTGTTTTTAAGACGGAGTCTCTCTTTATAACCCTGGCTGTCCTGGGACTAACTATGCAGGCCAGGCTGGTCTCAGACTCAGAGATTCTCCCACCTCTGCATCTGGAGTGCTGGGATTAAGAAAGGCCTACCAGAGCTGGAAAGATGGCTTGGTGGTTAAGAGCTTTGCTTGATCTTCCAAAGGTCCTGAGTTCAAGTCCCAGCAACCACATGGTGGCTCACAACCATCTGTAATGAGATTTGGTGCCCTCTTCTGGCCTTCAGGGATACATGCAGGCAGAACACTGAATATATAATAAATTAAATTAAAAAAAAAAAAAAGACCCACCATGCCCGGCATATTTCTTATCCTGAACCCGGCCCTTATCTCCATCTCTGTATGTGGATTGCAGGAGGTGGCGAGGCTGTGCAGCTTGTGCCAGGGCGTGTTGGCCTCTGTGCGGCAGGCCATCGAGGAGCTAGAGGGAGCAGCAGAAGCAAAGGAAGAGGAAGAGGTGTGGACCGAGGTGAAATAATGGCGGGTGTGGAAGGGGTGGGACTGGGGTGGGCACGTTAGTGGAACTCCAGGTATCTCCTTGTCCCAAGGAGGCGGTGGGAACGCCTGAGCCGCTGCGAAAGGTGCTGGCAGATCCTCGGCTGGCGGCACTACAGCGGACTGGAGGAGCCGTCCTGATGCGACTACGCTCCACTCACAGCAGCAAGTATGAGAGACGGGTGTGCCGAGGCAAATGGGGGGAGGCAGGTCGCAGAGAGGTGACCTAACCTTTAAGTGACAGATAATTCTTAGTCTGCAGTTACCTGCCTTTACAGTAAGATATTGTGTCTTTACACTTATAACCTTCACAGACTGATTACCGCTGTCATGACACCTGTGATGTTTGCATCCCTGCAGATACAAAGACAGAACTGGCGAGCTTGACAAGGGCAGAGACTCAGTGTTGCCTCTCTTTCCCCAGGCTAGAGGGTCCAGGCCCAGCTGTGTTATACCAGGAGGTAGATGAGGCCATCCACCAACTTGTGCGTCTCTCCAACCTACGTGTGCAGAAGCAGGAACAACGCCAACGCTTGCGCCAGCTCCATCAGGTGAGGAGATTCCCCACACCCTTAGCCTGGGAGCCTGCCCCTGCCTAACTGCATCTCTGCTGATACTAAGCATGGGGGACATCCTTCCAGCTTCCCTCCTCCCTCCCCTAGAGGTCAGTCATGGAAGTGTGAGACTCAGCATGAGGGCAGGAGCATCTCTGCACCAGTAGAAAGAAGCCAGAAGGTCAACCCCTGTCTGTCTTTGGTCAGGATCGTTGATATAGTGGGAAGTGTTCACCGCCCAAAGGGAACCCTGGAATCAGCTGGTTGACTCGGTGCAACCTCCTTAGTGTAAAGATAATAAATGTTTTGTTTTGTTTGGGGTTTTCTGAGACGAGATCTGATGTAGCCCAGGTTGGCCTGGAAGTCACTGTGTACCTGGTGCTCCTCACTCCTGCCTTCATCATCTTGCTGGGATGCCAGCCTAACCAAGCCTGGTAGTAAACAGCTGAGCTCTTTGGCTCCACATTTTCCTTGACTCCTTATGCATTACCATCCTCCAAAATGGAGGCAAAAAGACCCTGTCTCCTACATTGTCAGCTTCTAAGAGGAACCACAGGCCTCTTAAGATTCAAGAATAAGACTGGCTTCGCTGAACCTTGGTCCTTCTCTTCTGGACTTAAACTCTGTGGGAATTTGCTGTCTGTGTGCTGTGAAGGGAAGGGGGACTTAAAATCTGGTGGTTTTCCTTAACTACTGCACTGTGAATATATACCCCATGGATCTGTGTGTAGGTATAGAAGGGGCATCTCAAAGTCTGTGCTAAAGGGGAGCCAGGGTTTTTGTGTTCTAGGGCTGCCTGCTGGCTGCGGTTGTTCCATCCAGGGTTATCTCCTATTGTTAAAGTGCTTAGCTTTGAGACCGAGCTCTGCAAGGTATAGATGTTGCTGCCGAGTTGCCCCTTCCTGTGCAGACAGCGCACAGGTAGGTAGGACGGGGCGTGAAGTCAGCAGAGAACTCCAAAAGTGGCTCTCGCTGGCACTGACTTTTAGGAACATTCTGAGACTTCGTATTTTCCAGCTGCTCCACCCTAGCTTCCAGGCTTTCTTCGGAGGAAAAAACTAGTCAAGCATTTCAGAAAGAGTAGGAGATTCCCTACAATAGGAAAGTTGAACTGGATACACACACACACATAGACGCGCACACACATGCACACACATACTCGTGCACACACATACACACACCCACGTGCGCGTGCACATACACGTATCTCCTGGGCCGTCCTTCAGGCTTGCTGCCTAGGTTCCTGCTCACCACACATTAGCTGTGGAATTCCTCTTGGCCCTGTTATCCAAGTAACTTTCATTCCTCCTTTCTTTGGTGCATGCCCATCTTATCTGTTTCCTCATCCTGGCCTTGCCCTGGCACAATAACCCAGGTCTCCTCACAGCTCTGTTCATATAGCACTTTACCAAAGAAGGCAGAGTCAGCTTCTCATTTAATCCTGTGGGAACTGTTGTCATTCACCGTGTGAGTCTCACAGCACCAGAGAGACAAAACGGGATGAGATGGCAGCCGAGTGGGTCTTAGCCTGGCCCGTTCACCACCTCCCCTTCCCTCTCAGGTGTTGCAGTGGATTTCCGGCCCAGGAGAAGAGCAGCTGGCCAGCTTTGCCATGCCAGGAAACTCACTCTCGGTCTTGCAAGAGACAGAACTGCGGTTCCGGACTTTCAGCACTGAGGTGCAGGTAAGGACAGAGAGGAGATGGGGGTGAGGGTCACCGGGAGAGGACCAGATCTGAGCACAGATCCCTCTCTCCAGGAGCGCCTCGCCCAGGCCCGGGAAGCTTTGGCTCTGGAGGAAGACATCGCCTCCCAGAAAGTTCTGGATGTCTTCGAACAACGGCTGGAGCAGGTTGAGAGTAGCCTCCATCGGGCGCTACGGCTGCAGCGCTTCTTCCAACAGGTGGGTGCGGAGCGCCCTCCTGAGCCGATTTTCTCTCTTCAGCCTGGAGAAGTTGGTCAGGCAGCGACTAAGAGTGGTACCTTAGAAGCCCATCTCCTTGGCTCTGGCTTTTAGCTTGCCCAGGCTGAATGACCCGAGGTAGGTCCTTTGAAGACATTTGCACATCTGCTGTGAAAGTTAGGTGAGGCACTGTGTGAAAGCCATTAGTACAAGCCTGACTCTGTGCTGTGTGTGTAAGTACTAGCTCCTCTGTGTCCGCACCATCTCCATAGGTTATGCTGCGATGCTGGGCAGAGGGAGGGCAGGCCCAAAGGGAGCCATTGGCAGTGGGATACGTGTTTGGAAGTGGCGTGTGTCCTCACCTTTTTCCTCCACCTCCAACCTGTTTGGCTTTTGTAGGCACATGAATGGGTAGATGAGGGTTCTGCTCGGCTGGCGGGAGCTGGACCTGGGCGTGACGCTGTGCTGGCAGCCCTAGCCCTGCGGCGGGCCCCGGAGCCCAGTGCGGGCACCTTCCAGGAGATGCGAGCCCTGGCTCTGGACCTGGGCAGCCCAGCAGTCCTTCGAGAATGGGGCCGATGCCGGGCACGCTGCCAAGAGCTGGAAAGAAGGATTCAGCAGCAGCTGGGAGAAGAGGCCAGTCCTCGAGGCCACAGACGACGACGGGCAGACAGCGCCAGCAGCACAGGGGCCCAGCATGGAGCCCACAGCCCTTCACCCAGCCTCAGCTCCCTGCTTCTTCCCAGCAGCCCAGGACCACGGGCAGCCCCATCACATTGCTCTCTGACCCCGTGTGGGGAGGACCATGAGGAGGAAGGCCTTGAGCTAGCTCCAGAAGTAGACGGAAGACCCCCGAGGGCTGTGCTGATCCGAGGCCTGGAAGTTACTAGTACTGAAGTGGTGGACAGGACGTGTTCACCCCGAGAACACGTGCTGTTGGGTCGGACTGGAGGACCAGATGGGCCCTGGGGAGTAGGCACCCCTCGAATGGAGCGCAAACGCAGCATCAGGTGAGAGTTCAGACCAGGAGAGAACTGCTGGGGACAGTGACTCTTCCCCATGCCAGAGTGACACCCAGTGACGCCTCCGCTACTCTGGTTGTGCCTACAGCGCCCAGCAGCGTCTAGTGTCGGAAATGATTGCCTGTGAGCAAGAGTACATCACCGCTCTGAATGAGCCGGTGCCACCGCCTGGGCCCGAGCTGACTCCCGAGCTTCGCTGCACCTGGGCCGCAGCCCTGAGTGCCCGAGAGAGACTTCGCAGCTTCCACGGGTCGCACTTCCTACAGGAGCTTCAGGGCTGCAGCTCCCATCCCCTGCGCATTGGGGCCTGCTTCCTTCGCCACGTGAGCAACCCACTAAACTCCCAAATCTTCTCCCTTCCTGCGTTCTGCCCTATCTACGGTCCCCCTCACTTCTCCGCCCCCCCCCCCCCGTCCCTCTCCCTCTTGTGTGGTCCCCCAACTTGGCCCCTTGTTACTTGTCTTCGGGTGTTGTATGAACTTCACTGTCGATTCCTGGCAAGCAGAGTGCTGTCTGCTTATTCCTCCTCGGGCAGTGGGGATGGGAGAAGAAAAGCATCCACAGGTCCCTCATCAGGGACACTTACTACCTCTTCCTTACTGGTACAGGGGGACCAGTTCAACCTCTATGCACAGTTCGTGAAGCACAGACATAAACTGGAGAGTGGTCTGACTGCACTCACCCCCTCGGCCAAGGTAAACCTTTCTAAGAGAAGTGGGTCGATGAGATGGCAGGAAGGCATGCTTCCCTCCAAGACCAACAACCGAGTTCCAGCCCAGAAACAACATGGTACAATGAGAGAAGTGGTTCCTGAAAATGAGTTGTGTTCTCACTGATTCCACACGTTTGTGCACACACAAACACACACACACACACACACACACACAAAGTAGAATGAGAAAATTTTGTAAGAGAAGGAATCAGGAAGACCTAAAAACTCACCCCACCTTGAACTCTCAGAGAACACAACCCTTCTTAAACTCTTTTAGTCGTCCAGGTTGGTCTTGAATTTACTGAGATCCTCCTGCCTCTGCCTCCCAAGTGCTGGGATTAAGGGCATGTGCCAACACAACACAGGCGTGTGCCTGGCAGATTTATTTGTTTTTATTGTATGCGTGTGGCTGTTTGCCTGCAGGTGTACATGTGGTGCGTATGTGTATTGCACTGTGTCCAGTACACAAGGAGGCCAGAAGAGAATATCAGATCACCTTAAACTGCAATTAAAGACACCTAGGAGACACTATGTGGGTGCCGGGAACTGAGCTCAGGTCCTCTGCAGGAGCAGGAAGTGCTCCTGGCTGCTGAGCCGTCTCTTTGGCCCCAAGCCTGTTTCTGCGTGTGATTACCAAGGACAGTATGCACTTTGTCCGGCTCACCGGCGCTTGAGGGTCAAAGGAGTTCGTGTGAAAGGTGTGAACATAAGTAGCTAAGAGCTGGGCTCCCCTTCATCACAGGACAGCTCCATCTCCTGAGGCCCTGCCTGCTTCCTTTCCTTTTTAAAATTACATTGTGTATGTGTGTGGGGGGAGGGTACGTGCACGTGTGCGCCAAGCATGTGTGAGGAAGTCAGTGGGTGTGGGGGGGTGCGTGCACGTGTGTGCCAAGCATGTGTGAGGAAGTCATAGGACAGTTCACAGGAGCTAGTTCTCTCCTTTTACCACCGGGTCCCAGGGATGGAACTTGATTCCCAGGCTTAGTGACAAGTTCCTTTAGCTTCTGGGCCAACTCTTTGACATCTGTATTTTTTTCTCTTTACTTTGAAAAAAAATATTTTTACATTTGTATTGAATGGTGTGTGTGTGTGTACATGTCCGTGTGTGTGTGTGTGTGTGTGTGTGTGTGTGTGTGTGTGTAGTCAGAGGAGAAACTCCATGAGTCAATCTCTCTTTCTGCCATGTGGGTCCCAGGGATGAAACTCGGGTTGTCAGACTTGGTGGAAAGCACCTTACCCACAGAGCCGTCTTGAAGGCCCCTTGCTCTGCCTTAAGAGTATATCCCCAGGTCTTCCCCAAAGCCTATACCCAGCCTACCACATTTCTGTCCTCAGATTTGGGCCCCTAACAGCCCCGGCCCTGGGTCTTCTCATCCCTGGCTGTGGTTCTATCCTAGGGTTCTATAGAGAGCAGCCCTTGCTTGCCCCGGGCCCTGCAGCAGCCTCTGGAGCAGCTGGCTCGGTACGGACAGCTCCTGGAGGAGCTCCTTAGGGAAGCTGGGCCTGAGCTAAGCTCCGAGCGCCAGGCCCTCAGGACTGCTGTACAGTTGCTCCAGGAACAAGAGGCCCGAGGCAGAGATCTGCTTGCCGTGGAAGCTGTGCGGGGCTGTGAGGTAAGGTCCTGTCCTCTGCTGACTCTTGTTCAAACTGTAACTCTGGGGCCTTAGAAACAGTGTAGTCAGCCAGACGGTGGTGCACACCTTTAATCCCAGCAGCTGGGAGGCAGAGGCAGGCGGATCTCTGTGAGTTAGAGGCCAGCCTGGTCTACAAGAGCGAGTTCTAGGTTAGGCTCCAAAGCTACAGAGAAACCCTGTCTCTCTGGAAACAGTGTAGGCTGTGACCATAAAGCAGACCCGAAGTCTGAGGGCCCCAGGCTGTCTGTCCTTCATTGCCTCAGTTATGTCCAACACCCTCTGTTCTACATCAGCCTTGTGCTTGTCCATTCTTTCCTGGTTCTTCTTGCCTGTCTGCTTCTACGTGTCTAGACTACTGTCTCTTCCTCAACCTGATCTCTTTCCCACACTGATTCCAGATCAGGCTAGAACTGTACTCCCTCTAGATCAGTGGTTCTCAACTTTGGGTTATGACCCTTTCAATGGGGGCTGCCTAAGACCAAGGGAAAACACAGGTATTTACATTACAGTTCATAAAAGTAGCAAAATTATAGCCTATAAAGTAGCAACGAAAATAATTTTATGGTTGGGGTCACCACCTTATGAGGAACTGCATTCAAGTATCTCGGCACTAGGAAGGTTGAGAACCACTGGTCAAGATAAACGTACCCACATTCTTTGCTGGCTCTCTTTCTGCATCTCCAGTACGCAAAGACTTTACCATGGCAGGCTGGGCACCGGCTCGGAAGAATGACAGCTGCTAGGCATTGTGCATGAGAAGCAGTCGATGGGATTAGGCTGAAGCCCTCCTGACTTCCTGATCCTGCCAACAGCCAGGACTCCTCACACAGGCCCCTAACCAGCTTTGCCTTTTCCTTTCTCCAGCTAGATCTGAAGGAACAGGGGCAGCTCCTGCATCGGGACCCATTCACTGTCTTCTGTGGCCGGAAAAAGTGCCTCCGCCACGTCTTTCTCTTCGAGGACCTGCTCTTGTTCAGCAAGTTCAAGGGCTCTGAGGGGGGACCTGAGACCTTCACTTACAAGCAGGCGTTCAAGGTACACGGCATGGAGTAGTCATGGTCTTCGTAAGAATGCAGGATATTCTGGAAGTTTAACGTCAAACAAGTTCAGAATCTCCATCACCTAAAATGGGTTTTGGTCTCTAATTAGTCATCAATTTTAGGGTGTCAGAAGATTTACTGAGGCATTTCAAGACAGAATGGAAAAAAATCTTCCGAATGAGAACGCATATGCCTGTTGGGCGGTGGTGGCGCAGGCCTTTAATCCCAGCACTCAGGAGGCAGAGACAGGCGGATCTCTGAGTTCCAGGACAGCCAGGGCTACACAAAGAAACCCTGTCTAGAAAAACAAAACAAAACAAAAAAATCACACGTGTCTTTTGAGTTAAAGGTGGTACCTGGTATGAGAAGAGAAAGGACACAGACACCCCTTAACTTCACTGAAGTAGATAGAACTCGAGACAGGCCTTGCTTTGGGCTATAACCAGTTGTAAGCATCCATAGCAGCCCACAGTTCTGGACCAGGTGGAATAATACTAACGGTTTCCAAACTGCCCTGCGTTAGCTCTTCAAAGGTAGGGCAGAGGCAAAGGTCTGTGTTTGGAATAGCACACATATGGGGTATATCCTTACCAAAGGGGCTTCTTGTCTCCGTGAGCCCCCTTTTCCTTCTGTCAACCAGGGCTGCTCTGCAGACTGTAGAGCGCTTGGTAGCTGCTTGCCGATGTGCTGCCACCTAACGGGGACCCTGTCTCTCCTGCCCCCCCCCAGACGGCTGACATGGGGCTGACGGAGAACATCGGGGAGAGTGGGCTCTGTTTTGAGCTGTGGTTCCGGCGACGACGCACACGAGAAGCATACACTTTGCAGGCTGCCTCTCCAGAGACCAAACTCAAGTGGACAAGTTCTATTGCCCAGCTGCTGTGGAGACAGGCAGCCCACAACAAGGGTAATGGGCAGACTGTAATGGGCTCCATGAGGAGGTGGAGAGTGTGGAGATGACAGGAAGGAAGCCTTCAGAGACAGCTCAAGGTCTGGTTCGAGAGCTATGCCCGAGACAGAATTATCCGTAAGAAAAGAGAAAGCTAGGAATTTCGAGGAAAAGAGCAAATGTCTCCACAAGAGGTGCAGAACTGCTTACTGGACCGGGCTTAGGAAGACTGGTGCCACTTGTTGACCCAGACAACAGCTTTCCTTTGTCGTTGGTTGGTACTGGGCTTTGATTTGCGTTTTGTTGTGATTTTCTGAGTCATTCTATCAGTCTGAAAAAGACAAAGTGCTTTCTTCAGCTCAGCGTGATGGGAGGGTCAAGTAGGTGATACGTATAGAAGCACTTGACAAATCACACAGATGCGCAAAAGCATGAGTTTTGCTCTTAATGTCCACGATAAAGGGCAGCTGAGTGTTCCATGAAAAGTCACTGCACAGGAAGATGGGCTCACTGGATAAGGCAAAAGTGCTTGCCATGCAAGTGTGAAGACCCTAGTTCAAATCCCCAGAACCCACACAAAAGCCAGCAGTACTGCAAATGTAGTAACAGGGACATCTGTAATCTCATTGCTGCTACAGAGCACATGGGAGACTTTCCTCCAGAAGCATGCCAGACAGCCATCGTGGCATATGCACACCAAAACCAATCAAGAGGTCAGCCATAAACACAGTGAAGATCAACTGACACCCAGCGTGTCCTCTGTCCTCCAAATGTTTATGCCTCATCCACACCCAGATGTGCAAATGCACACACATCACACACACACACACACACACACACACACACACACAGTGGTTAGGAGGCCAAATGGACAGGATGAACTATATAGCAAAGAACAGATGCATGTCTGAAGAGGCCACAGATCACCCTTACAGTCTAAGCCGTGATGGTCAAGGAAGGGGGGATACCTTCCATTCTTGAATGATATTCTTCCATTCAAGAAGAATGGTTGAGTGTCAGCAGCAGTGTGCTAACCCTGAGGCGGGGGCCGAGAAAAGGTTGCAAACCGGGCCTCTGTTCCCTAGAGCTCCGAGTGCAGCAGATGGTTTCCATGGGCATTGGGAATAAGCCTTTCCTGGACATTAAGGCCCTCGGAGAACGGACACTGAGTGCCCTGCTCACTGGAAGAGGTGAGGTCCAGGGTGCAGGGGGCAGGGGTGTGCTCCCAGTCAGGCCTTGACTAATGATATAAAAGCAAAGGGGAGATGTTAGGAAGGATCCTGAGTCCTGAGTGGGCAACTCTTCCCAAAATGTGGGACTCCTCCAGGAGCCAGGAGGACTTTTCCACACCAGCACCCCACCACCCCACTCCCCACTCTCTGCAGCCGCCCGCACCCGGGCCTCCGTAGCGGTATCATCCTTTGAGCATGCTGGCCCGTCCCTTCCCGGCCTCTCGCCGGGAGCCTGCTCCCTGCCTGCCCGCGTCGAGGAGGAGGCCTGGGATCTGGACGTCAAGCAGATTTCCCTGGGTGAGGCACCTCTCAAGGGGTGGCCCCCAACCGCTGGGTCATGGTGATGTTCAGGCTGCCTATTGCTAAGCAATTCCTTTTTCTAGCCAAGTAGCCCAGTTGCCATGACAACTACATACAGCTTCCCGTTGCTAAAAGAGCCTTCCATCTGGTTGCTAGGGAGATGCTTACAGCAGCCTTTTGCTAAGAAGCACTTCTTCTGTACCTTTCTCTCTAGCTCTCCTTGAGTTTCTATGGAAACTGCCTCAGCTTCCTGTTGTACCCTCCCGGTTCACCACGGCAATTCTTAGTTTCCTGTCGCTTCTTCCCTGGTTGCTCTAATGATGCTGCTGACAGTTTCCTGCCTCTTGGTAGGGGGGTTCTCTTGCAAGTGGATTGCTATGGTGACTCGCAGCTCCCTGTTGCCTGAGGAGCTTGGTTGTTTAAGGTAACCTGGAAGGGTTTTATGCCTGCTCTTACCCTAGCTTCCCCTCCAGCCTCAGAAACACTTGACTCTTCTGGAGATGGGTCCCCAGGACCAAGAACCGGCCCCAACCTGCAGCCTCCGCACCCTGGGAGCAGCACTCCCTCTCTGGCCAGTGGAGGGATCTTAGGGCTCTCCCGGCAGGTAAGTCCCTGCAGTAAGGCTGGGAGCAGGTGCTCTCTTTCTGGGTAGGCTTTTCTGACCATCCGACATTGAGGAGTAGAGGAACTAGATATTGCTCCTCTCGGCTGATGCCACAGATTGGGTTTATTACCCAGCCTGCCTTTCTCCTCTCCCCTAGGCCTGGCTGAGAAGCATCAAGGTCAGAGGTAAAAAAAAAGCCTTAAGAAGCAGGGAGAGACATACGCAATAGAGAAATGTCTAAACCCAGTGCCATTTCTCTGTTCTCAGAGTCATTCGCGAGCCCTGAGTGACCCCACCACGCCTCTGTGAGCGGTAAGTCAGCCACCCTTCTCCCACATCCAGCGTGCCTTCTTTCCTGGCCTCCGGTGCACGGGAGTCAGCTTCATGCCTCTCCCAACCCATCTCCCTCTTCTCTCCTGGCTTCCAGAGAAGATCCTGAACTTGGCTGCACCCCTTGTCAGCACATTTTAGGCTGGGATGCCAATGGGACAAAATGGAGAACTCATTTCCCTCCCTCTGCTTCCTGGACAGAGATGGGGGCAAGGACCAGAGCTTTCCCTGTTGCTGCTCTCTCTCTAGCCCTCCCCTGCTTGGAGCCAGAGTGGCCCTGTTTGCTTGCTTTCTGCCCCCCCACCCCCCGGGGGCAGGGAAACATCGATCTCGCACTTTCCCCACCCGTGCTAGGCACACCGCAGGACAGGCTCTGCTGACAGCCCACCTCTCTTCCCATCCCTGACTCTCCCAGGAGATTCATCTCTGCCAGGTCGAATGGAACCCCATTCTGGGGTATTGTGGGAAGTGTTATAAGCCATTGAAGGAGATGGGGTGGGCACTGCAGACTTTATATATGTAATTACTGTTATTATACTATTGATATATTAAATGTATTTGCTCTCACTGTGCCTCCCAAGGGCCAGAGCAGGCCTCTGGATTACGGTGTTTTAACTAACTCGAGTTCTTCCCTATGAAGCTCCAACTAAGGATTCAGAAAATAAGACCAAGGCCATAAAGTAGCTGTTCTGCCCTTTACTGGCCCAAAACTGATAGTGTGGGAGTGTGGGAGGACTTGCCTCCCCCTCAGAGGTGCTAAGAAAGTCAGTGAGCTCTCTGAAGTCCCTCCTCCACTCTGCACCTACTTCTTGAGGCTGAGATGATCAGATGGGTCCAGTAATTATCTAGTGATGTCCTCAAGCTACGGTGCAAGAGGATCCCTTGGCCACTTCCTAGGGCCCATCCAGAGCTACTGGACCTCAAGTCTGGAGGTAAAGCAAAGTTCTGCATCCTGTTCCAGCTCCTTGATAATGAAGTGCCTTAGAGCAAAACACAGGCAGACACACAGGGCCTTGTGCCTCAAGACACCTGTTTATTGGGGACATGACTCTTCAACAGGGATGACAGGAATCGTACCAAAAATAGCAACGTCTACAGGGCCCCTGACAGGGCTAGAAGGGTACAGTGCCCCCCACCCCCACCCCTTATACAAAAATAAACTCTCGTGCCTATGGACCAGCAGAGGCTGGCAGGGCGGCTCCTCCACAGGAGCGCGTCCTCTACCAGCCCTAGGACCCCGTTCTCTGACCCTCACCTCTGCCACTTCTAAGGCACTGTGACTCCCCGGGGCTGGGTGGGTACCGCCTGCCCACCCTCCTTCACCCACTGCCCACTTTACCTCTTGGTCCACCTTGGGCTGGGATACGGGTCCCACACTGCTCCCTGCTGGCTGCTCTACCCAACTACCTCTAGCACTTTCCCGCTCCCGCGGGATAAGCTTACTAAGCTAAACACTCCTAAGAGGGCTCCCTACCGCTCTTGCCCCCCAAGACCTGCCTCTCCAGATCTAGACAGCCCTGGGCTGCCCTCCTCTTCTAGCGGAGGGCTGGGAGGTGTCTCTCCTGACGGCGCTCGGACATAGGGTGGAGATGTGTCAGCTCGGGGCTGCCGGCGGCCCCGGGCTCGACGGCTATGGTGTACTTGCAGATGCAAGGTCATGAGCTCAGGAGCTCCAGTGGCAAAGGGGCAGAAGAGGCAGCGGTGAAGGGCACCCCCTGGCCCGGCCTCACCTCCCGGGCCTGCTCGCAGGGACAGGTCCAGGGGCTCGGCCTCACCACCTCTCCCGTTGCGCAGGGTCCTCCCAGGGCTGGCAGGCTTTCTACGGGACCCTGGTCCGGTGCTGCTCGAAAGAGGCCTGGTGCTAGCAGCGCCCTCCACCCAGGTGGCAGAGGCCTGAGTTGGTTTGGCTCCGGACTGCGGCTGCAGTGAGGCTGAGCCCCGCGGGGAAGGGGGCGGGGGTTCTGGAGGAGGCCCAGGCCCTGCACTGCTCCTCTGCTCTCGATGGTGACGCTGAAGGTGATACTTGAGCGAGCCCGACTGGGTGCCTGCATAGTCGCAGTGTGGACACTTGTAGGGACGCTCACCTGGAAAAAGTGGGTTAGAGTAGGTCATGGGGTCACTGTCACTAACACACAGACAACATTTTGCTCAATTTGCAAACTTCACCCCAAGGCTCAGAAGCCGATTCCCTACTAAGTGATTTAGATGAATGCAAAAGCTGGCCCATCTGAAGACTGCTCGGTTGCTCTTGCCTCTCTTGCTTCTAGACCCGCCCCCATAAAAACCGCTTCCCTCACCTGTGTGCACGCGAAGATGCACTTTCAGGTGATGTGCCGAGCGGAAAGATTTTCCACAGAAGGGGCAGTCCTTGCCAGTGGCCCCGCGGCCCGCTTCGGATCGGGTCCCTCCAACCAGCAGCCCATTTTCTTCTGCAACACGTTAAAAGGAAGTTATAGGGTCTGACTGTCTTGTCCCAGCCAGGCACCCATTATACCCACCACCTCTCTGGACCCAAGAGGAAAGGGGTTTAGGGGAACGTAGATTTGTTAAAAGAGTTAACACCCTTAGGAAGGCTTCCCAGTAGGGAAAAGCCTAGAAGACAGAGAAGACAGGTCTTTTGAAAAGGAAACTACGGGAGCGGTGGCCCAAGTGTTGACATACCTTGGGTGGCCGTAGATCTTGCCTGGGCCCCCGTGGCAGATGCAGACTGTCCTGACCCCTCACCTGAGTGGGGGTGCAGGGAAGTCAGAGTGCCCAGCGACCTGCCCCGGGCCCAGCTCTCCTCTTCTGCCTCCACCACCTCTTCTTCCTCCTCTGGTTCGTCTGTACGGTGCCGCCGAGCCCGATTAGGAAGAGCTGAAGGCAGCGGGCGGAATCCCCCATAGCTTCGGCCAGATCCAGGGTCAGCACCCTCACCATTGGGTCGTACTTCCCCAGCTCGCACACTCAGGTAGCCTAAAAGGCTTGGGGGCTCACGGCGCTCAGCTGGGGTGGGCGCTGGGGCCAGGAGGAGCGCTGGGCCTAGTGGCTCATAAGCCAACAGGCTCAGGTCAGGAGGCTGAGGGGCCCTGGCAGGAGTAGAGCCAGGCCCTGGGGCACGCAAAGGACCCAGCTTGCTGGTGTGCACCTTCATGTGGTTCTTAAGGAACCAGGGCTCTTTGAAGCAGCGGCCACACACGGGGCATGCATGATCAAAGGAGGCCTTGTGCTTGCGCATGTGACCCTTGAGAAACCAGGACTGTGTAAAGCTCTGGCCGCACACCTGACAACGGAACTCAGGTGGCGCAGGGGGTTCCTCCGGAGGTGCAGGAGTCGGGGCAGGGTTTGCCTCCCGTTCAGGCTCTGGCCTCGGTTCAGGCTCAGGCTCAGGCTCAAGGGCAGATCTGGGTTCTGGCTGGGGTGGAGGCTGGGGTTCGGGTGTAGAAGTAGCTGCCAGGGGGCGCTCGGGAGCCCCATGGGCCGTCAGACTGTGATGCAGCAACTCCTCCTCCTGGCTGGAACCAAAACTGCACAAGCTGCACTTCCAGGGCCTGTGCAGGATATGCAGGTGGCGTTCCCGCTCCGCTGAGGTGCGAAACTTGCCTTTGCAGAAAGGGCAACGGAAGGCAGACGAGGAAGGAACCTGGGGGCGCGCCGGGCCCTCTGCAGCAGGGGTGGCCTGCATGCCCCCTGAGCTTCTGGCTCTCCCCAGTTGGGCTTCACGTAGCAGGGCGCGTTCCTCCAACTCCAGCAACAGCCGTGCAGCAGGGCTTCGTGGGCGCTCGGGCTGGTGCGTTCGAAGATGTGAGCGCAGCAGAGCCCGCTGAGCTGCTCGGTGGCCACAGTGTGGGCACTGGAAGGCTTGGGCGCCCGGGTGTGCTCGCAGGTGCAAAGCCAGGATGGAATTGAATCGGAAGCGCTTTCCGCACACAGGACAGGGGAATCGCCGTTCACCTGCACGAGTCTCAGACCAGCCCACTGCTCCCATCCCAGGAGACCCGGCGCTCACACCTGGTCCGTTTGAGTAGTGCTGCAGATCCAGTTCGCCGTCGAAAGCTGGTGGCGAAGGCTCTAGGTGGCCGACCAAGATGCGGGGACGTGAGCCCTGTGGGGAAAGATGCAGGTAGAGGAGAGGGTGGAAAGGGCCGAGCTATGGAAAAGGCAAAGGCATCAAAGGCACGAAGAATGGAAAATAAGAGTGTGTGGTAGGCTGGGGCCTGACCTGAGAACACTGGTGCCTCTCACCTCCAGAAGTTGTGGGATGGGTGGAAGTTAGATACTGGGGCCAAGGTAATAGCATCTATTACTATAACAGGAAGTAAGAATGTAGAGAGGTGGGGACTGCCGAAGGCACTTGCAGGTCAAGGACAGCGCTTCACTCACCTCCATGGACCCCCTTCACATTCTCTGGTTCTGAGGATTGGGAGGAGGAGGAAGGAAAGCTGCTAATGAAGGCAACAGGTGCGGAGGTGCTAAAACAAGACAGATTGATTGGAGGAAAGATGAGCCCTGGCTCTCAGCAGTAAAGTCACCCCACTTTGCAGCCTGTATTCTTAAAACCCATCCCTTCTTCCTACGTGGATCTTGAGGTATCACACGCTTCCTATTTGCTGTCTTCAAAACTTGCACCCCTTGATCTGCCAATCTGTATGACAAACCCAGAACTCCTCCCCCAAACGATGTTTTAAACACCTAGTCCAGAACCACCATCACCCCCACCACACACACAATGTGGGAGGCCATCATAGTATACCCCTCTTCCACTCGCATTGGGCTGTGCCACTGGATAAACAAATGCGGAGGGCTAGCCATACTCCTATTATCCAAGTGGTACCAGCTCCTCTCAGACCCGGGGCCAGCCAGCCAAAATCCCTCCAGGTCCCTCCTCCTAGCTTCTGCCGGCACCCAGTCTTCTGGTCTTTCCTCCTCCCCCTCCCCCTCCCTGGATTCCTGATCCATTCATTTCCATTCATTACAGAGACTCATTCATGCATGGGAGAGAAACACCTCCCAGCAGCAGCGTCTGGAGACAGAGGGGGAGGGGCATGGAGGGAGAGCCAGCTACAGAGGGAATGTAGAGAGTTGGGGGAGGCGTGGAAGTTAAGGGGCACTACCAGCCTAGGCAAGGGGTTTAAACTGCAAATCCCATTTAGGTTTCACCCCATTTCAAACCTTGGAGCCTGTGGTTTGATGGGGCATCTCAGCCCCTTTGTCCAGAGCTGTTCCGAGGCAGGCTTTCCTCCTCTCTGCAGGGGAGAGGCTTCCTCACACAAGAGGAGGATTACACTGGCTCTGAGCTCAAGAGGCTGGAGTGAGGGACGGGGGGCGGGGCCTTGCCATCTGCACAGATAGGGGGATCCACACATGCTCCGAGCAGGAAGGGGTTAAAATTCTCCATCTAAAATTCCCTATCCCTGACAAGTGCTGCACAGGGCAGGGGAGAGGGGAGTTGAGGGAGAGGATGGTGAGGGGGAGGTTCTCCTGCCATTTCACTGCTGACAGGGTCAGGAATTAGACTTCAGTGGATGGCCAGAAGTCATAACTACCTTCCTCCTTCCATACAGAATTGTATCTTGTTCAGCTCAGATGAACTTGGGCCTAGCTTTCTTTAATTTAACCTCAGACATAATATTTGATAAAGAACTTCCTTACAGTGAGAATTATGAAACTGAAATGGGTTGCTAGGAAAGAAAAGAACTCAAGCCTTACTTTGCTTACAAATCTGTAATTGAGGCAAACTGGGCCAGAAGTCAGCCCTGCCTATCAGCAAAGACTGGGGCTTCGAAGCTGCACTAATTTTCAGCACTGAGTGGAGTGGCAAGACTCTACCGAGGGACAAACACCTGTTACATGCAGAATCTGACCTTAGAGCATTAACAGATAAAGTAACAAAATGTCCTGTCCAAGCATCTCTAGACAACCACTTAACATGTGTGTTTCTGCAGGTCCAGATCCAGGCATCCATTCTTGTCCTATGGATCCTCCCAATAAACCCTTTACTGGGACCAACAGCCTGACCAGCCTCACTGAAAATTGCATAAAGGTGAATCAGAACTAAGGGGTACAAGGCCATTGTAAGTCTGTGTCTTACAACCATGAACAAGTCACCTCATCTCTCGGTTTACCATCTATGAAATAAATTATAATAAATTTACATTCATAGTCCCTGCCAACTTGAAAGTTGTGTGGTTTTAAGTCACAACACTTCTGACCCCCAAGAAATGTTAAAACAAATAGCCATTCCTTCAGTACCATGGAGAGTGCAGTGGGCCACCAGAGACACCACTTTGGCCACCTTAGACTCACAGAACTAGGAAGTGTTAGAGAGGCACACAGAAACTAGTGGATGAGGAAAAAAAAATCCTATTTGGGAACTATGGAGCATCAGAGAAGCTATGGAGGGGTATCAGGGGAATTACTGTGGCCTTTTGGATGCCACTGAAAATAGAATAGAAAATGCACATACCTAGAAAAATTTTAATTAGCTATACAGACTGTCATAACAGTTACAGTTTGTACATCCTGGAATGGGTTACTGAGGCATCGTATTTGAGTCCATCACATTCTGTTGCTTTCCTGGGGATTCCCGGAACATCCTGGTGTACAGCCAATCTGGTATATTCAGAGGAAGCAGATGGCTGGGAGGGGTGTGTGTGTGTGTGTGTGTGTGCGTGTGTGTGTGTGTGAATACTGCATGGTCATAGCTGACTAACCTATGGGCGCATATTCTGATCCTGAGAAGATGCTAGGGCCTAGAATACTGCCTGTAAAACACCAAGCAAAATGTCTCCTAGGAAAACGGCTTATGTCTGAGGCAAAAGGAGCAGAAACGGGGCACGGCTTCCTCCTCCCCCAAGCAACACCAACCACACTGCATGTAGCAGTTTCCAGGGTGGAAAGCAGTGACACATAAGAAGGCCCAAATGGAAGTTGAATTTCTCCTCAGGGAAAGTTTCCCAGAAGGTGGCCTAAAATCAGTAAAATCCACCGAGACCTCCTAGGCCCAGTCAAGATGGCTTCCGTCATCTCTCCATCAAACCAGGTCTCAGGCACAGGATCTCATAAATTGCTCTCGCTAGAGGAGAGCACCAGCAGCGACAGAGTGTGACCCGGTTTGCAACCTAAGTCAGACATGCATTGTCTGTGGACAAGCCTCACATTTTTCAACACTCAAAGCTTAAACACCACCCCTGAGCCTGGGCCAGGGAGTAGCAGTGACCTACTTTCCAGACCCGGGGGGAACCAGGGGTTATCTCGCTCCTGTGTGTGTCTCTGCAGGATGCAGGACCAGCGGTACGAATGAGAAGTATTTCCAAAGCAACAGGCCAATTACTTTTACACGCTAGGAGAGCTGATGCAGAAAGGTAAGACCCCCAAATCCTACGGAGGATGGTGGTGAGAGACTTACAGAAGAATCAGCTAAATGAAGGACCAAGATTCCCCCACCCCAAGTCCTGTGGTTCAAAATATTTTAAGGTCAAGTGTTCAGGAGCAAAGGATTAGGGTCTCTGGGGCCTAGCTGTAAGTAGGCCTCTGCCCCTGGTCATTCCCAATACATGAATTTTTTTCCTTGTCGGCAATCTCCCCTCTCCTAAATCAGCTAACGAATATGAGTCACTTCGATAGAAGAGATTAAATCGAAAGGGGGCTTATTAGACTGTCCGGAGTCAGGACCACCCGGAAAACACATACAGACTCTCTGAACCCCACTGCTTTGAAAGCTGCTTCAAATACACACTGCATTGAACCTCGACACCTTTTACAGTTCTTGGAAAAGGGATAGGGGGGCATGAAATTTCAGTCATGGGCTTCCAAATAACTATCGAGAGGTGAGAGGGAGGCACAACACCCCGCAAACAATCTTCTCCCAGACCCATGTTCTAGCATGTCCTAACTTGACCCCGATTCTGAAAGTTCTGAGGAGCCCAGGCTGGGGCAGAGGGGGTGGGAGAGAGCCGGCATATCTACAGCCTTAAATCCCTCTAACTAGAGCTGGCCCTTAAAAAAGTGTTAGTGCCTGTAAGAGCCTGAGTTCTCAGGCTGGGAGGTGGGTAGGAGACCCTCTGGGAGAATGTCCCTCTCGAAAACTGGTAGGCAAGCAGAGCAGGACCTGTGTTCTCGCACGAGGGGCTCCACCGGCACACCCCATACTCCACCCGCGGAAAAATAATCCAGGAGGCCGATGGGGGCAGGGTTGGGACATAGGGAGGCCAGAGCTCAGCTACCCCGGGCCAGGAGAACAAAAGCAGAGTTACAGCCGCCTCCGCGGCTGCCGCGGGCCGAGCTCTTTGTGACACTTTGTTTGGGACACAGAGAGAAGCACCCCCACCCTATCCCC